TTCCATAGGTTAAAAAAATAAAAACCTCCCTTAAAAAAAGACAGAGTGAAATGTGGATTGGTTAAGTGGCGACAAAAAACGCACATATTGGAATTAATATCAAATTCACGTGAGCAGTAAAAGTTTATCAAGTGTTCGTACAAGATCAAAAGCTCTTTTGAGAAGTAATTAATAAGTAATAATTGCCTATTTTACCATTATTTAATGACATCTGTAGCAACTCTTGTAGGAATACGGTGGGCGGGAGTTTGCATCGTGCGGCCACACAGCTTATGACCGCAGTTTGTGGAGGAACACTATCTGTGGTCGCGATCCTCATCAGTGAGGGACCGAGAAGGAGAGATTAGCAACTCTGGAGACCAAAAAATCCGGTTTTCTTTACTAAATTGTATTAACTACGGACCCCTCCCACATCACCGTCGTGACAGCCCTGTAAGTTTTTGCGTAGTTCCGCTGCGAGAACTTCATCAGTGATTCTTAAAGAGTCTATAATCATCCTCTGTTTGATTAACTATCTCTGTTGCAGCTTTTCTGATTGAAAAATGCTGTTTTCTTCGATAAATTGTCTACGGACCCCTCCCATATCACCGTTGTGACAACCCTGTAAGTTTTTGCGTGGTTCCGCTGTAATTTCATCAGCGCTAGTTATTCTTAAAGAGTCTATAATCATCCTCTGTTTAATTAACTATCTCTGTTGCAGCTTTTCTGATTGAAAAATGCTGTTTTCTTCGATAAATTGTCTACGGACCCCTCCCATATCACCGTCGCGACAACCCTGTAAGTTTTTGCGTGGTTCCGCTCTAATTTCATCAGCTAGTTCCCGTCGGTTGCTGTTATTTTTCTTTTGCCACAGAAATAGTTCTCTGCAATTCGATTGCTCCCACATTTGTTGCCAAAAAGTGTACGCAATAACGAGCGACTTTTCTGGAATATGGTTTTGAGCTGGCATTTTTAGGGTTTGCTGATTCAGGTCAATTAAGACTCGTTTGACGTTTGTAAAGTTATTAAGGCTTTAAAAAGTAAATAAGTATAATTCTTAGAACTTTGAACTAAGTTCTTGTACATAGTTTTATTAGTTTAGAAGTTAAAATGTTTCTTTTCTCTTGTAATTTATGTTTTCATGCAAAAAGTTCAATTAATTTGATCATTATATTCTGTTGAAGTCATATTTAATTATAGCCTGGTCAAATTAGCACAGAAAATAGGGGTTACAATAATTCGCATAGAAATGAAAATTGGTAAGAATGTTTGGAACACCTAAGAAATGAAATGTTTTTGATAGTTTTTTTAAAACAGTAGTAAATTTTTTCAAGAAACGGAGCGGAGACGAATTACTTTCCACAAGAATTCAAATTCCAAAGTGAAGAAATAATTCCTAACATAACAATTAGTATGAAAACATCACCGCATTAGTTAAATGAACAAACTCAGTTGCAGCTGGCTGGCTAAACAAATAACAAGAAAACGGGATTAATGTTAATCCGGGCCGATTTGAATGTCAAAGTTAAACGGAACGCGGAGTGGGGCGAACTTGCGATTCGCACTTATCCGCAACGAGTTCTGACTTTGCAGGGTTGCCACTAGGAATATAAATCTTTCATTATTCTACGAGTATTCTTCTTCTTGTCGTGTACAACAAACCTACACAGCGTCAGCCCAAAACTCCGCCACAAGAGTGGCGTTGTCAGTAGCATTCATTAAATCTTCCTGCGTGCAGTTGTTTGGGCACGCAGGGGACGATATCATGTGCTTCGTCGACTGGGGAACAAAACCACACTTGCACTCCAAGTTTGAGCCATCCAAGAATCCCCACCTGAACAGATTGTCCTTACTAAGGCCGACCTGCGTCCGAAGTATATTTAAAGATTACAAGTATTTGTAGATACTAATATTCATTGTTTGAGTTTAATCGTCAAGCACTAAGAACCGTCTAGCCAGCGTGGGATCAAATTCATTCATCATCATCATTTCAGCCATAGGACGTCCACTGCTGAACATAAGCCTCCCCCAATGATTTCCACAATGGCTGGTTGGTGGCGGCCTGCATCCAGCGCCTTCCCGGTACCTTTATGATTATCAAATTCATTTGCCTTTTGTAAATAAATGAGAGGAGCCGTGATCCTGCAGTGAAGATAAATGCTAATGATGAAAGAAATCCTTCTGTTGTTATGAACGGATTTTGGGAGGAGAGGTCACTCCTCAGAAGAGCTTTTGGTGTTGTCTAAAATAATAAAAATTCCTATAACTGTATAGGTATTTCTAGATTTTGTATCACAAATATTATAACTGTCAGTCTATGTCAATCCTAGAACTTGTGAATATATTTACGTTATTATAAGTCTAAATTGCTTTCAAGTACCACATAAAATATGAAATATCTTCTATTTTCTTTTTTTTTTTTCAATAAAAATAATGAGTATTTCGGTTGTAATTGGATCAAAAATTTGAATATGCGATGGCAACCCTACGCATAAGCAAACGGGCGGATCCTGATGAAATATTGAGGTAATTTCTCAGCAGAACGCCTTCCTGTGAAAAAAGATTAGCGCAAAGTTTCAGGCCCAGATTCGGGCTGGAATTGCAGGCAAGTTTCACACAAACCCATAAAGTGGCAATAAAAATCTAGGCCGTGACCATTATTTCAGATGGCAACCGCAGTTTTAATGACGTACGCCAGTATCATTTCAGTATCTTGGAAATACTCGGGTATTTCTGACTCGTTCTTGGCAAAGTATTGTCGTTTCTAATCTTTTTAATCAATTACCAAAACACCATAGCATGTTTTCATTAATCATAGAGCAGACTTAAGCCATTTTTTTTGTCTTTATGACTTTTTTCTTGACTCCGTGACATTCATTGTAGATTTTGTTCAAATAGAGACTTCTTCTTGTCGTGTCGAAAACAAACCTACACAGTGTCAGCCGAAAACTCCGCCACAACAGTGGCGTTGTCAGTAGCATTCATTAAATCTTCCTGCGTGAAGTTGTTTGGGAGCGCAGGGCAGGATATAGAGACTAATATCAGTATTTTATAACTGTAACTTTGCTTAATTTTTTATCTATCTGTGCTAGCTAAGAATTAATTTAAGTGCTTGAGTACAGTAGAGTCTTGCTAGTTTGCGTAAACTATTGAATAATTTAAGCCCCAAGTCGATGCAAAATATTCAGGTGACCTTTAATAGGTCAACACAATCGTGTAGGTTGAAATAAACTTTAGCATTACCCACATTTGGTTTCACAGACATTACTTATTCTTGTCCATATAAGGATGCAGTGGTTTCCGCGACCCAGTACGGACCGCATTTATTCTGAATTGGAACGTTTATAATATTCCTATTGTTTTTAGTTGATTTAAACAAGATTTAAGAAGAAGGTTATTATTTTATATTATCCATGTAATTTTTGGTAATATATATTTTCTGGACTGCCCGCCGGCGTTACGAGAAAGGTGCTCATCAAATTTATGCCAAAAATATACTAAGCTTATACAATAGACACTACTAAGAGACCTTTGGTAGTTGGTAAACTCATATCACCCTCAGTAGCTTGACAAACCACCACCTTCTTTGGAGCCTCAGATGAGTCCAAGGCTGCTATCTGCTATAGCAGCGCTTCGAAATTGAGGAGGTTAGGAACAGAAAGTGACATTTACACTTTTTAATTATACGTATGAATAAATTAAGAAAATAAATATTTTTGTTGAACTTTATGTGTTTTGTTTTTTTTTTGTTTTTAATATTATGGGTTAATAAGACATAGATTACAAGGTATTAAAAGTTTTCATGTATGTTTTAAAATTTACACAAAATTAAATAAAGAACAAATCAGATGTCACCTTTTGATCAAGTCACAAGTAAATGTCACCATTTGATTCAATAGTTTTGTAAAATGTTACCTTTTGAAACTTGCTGTCTGAAAAATGTCACTATTAGAAACAAAAACAAATCAATATCCATACAAAAAATGTGTTTATTATTATTTTAAATTCTTATACATGAAGTTCTCCACAATCAGGTTCTAAGCAGTCACATCCATTTTCATCATTTTCATTGTCATTTTCTTCTTTCTTCTTTCTTTCTTTTCAGCCAAATGACGTCCACTGCTGGACAAAGGCCTCCCCCAAGGTTTTCCACAATGAACGGTCCTGCGCTGCCCGCATCCAGGCTCTTCCCGCGACCTTTACCAGATCGTCGGTCCACCTAGTAGGAGGCCTGCCCACGCTACGTCTTCCAGCCCGTGGTCGCCACTCGAGAACTTTCCTGCCCCAACGGCCATCGTCTCTACGAGCTATCCCGCCCACTGCCACTTGTCATTTTCACTTATATTATTTTCATACAAGATATCACAATACCATTTTAAAGAAGGATCATTTTTCCAGTTTTTTCCAAACTGTTTAGTTAAACATAGACATAGATTACAAGGTATTAAAAGTTTTCATGTATGTTTTAAAATTTAGTTAAACATAGACATAGATTACAAGGTATATAATAAGGTTATTCGATTAAACATATCGATTCGACCTGTCGTCATAATTTATTTTGGGCAAATCGTTATTTTTTAAGAAATAATGTACCCGTTTTGATCCGACCTTAAAAGCCTCAGAAATATTTACAAAGGAAATGACACTTTTTGATTATTATTATGTACAAATCACTATTGAGATTGAATTAAAATGTAACTTTTTGTTTCAAAAGCAGTAGTTCAAGTTGATTTTTCTATGAAATTAAGCACCTTCAGAACCAATGTCGTGCAGATAATGATAGAATTTATCCTTCCAAGTAAGAAAAAAAACATAAAAAAAAATGAAGCTGATACGTAAATGTCACCTTTTGTTCCTAACCTCCTCAATTGTTTTAGGCCCAGTTCTTCTGGCAGAGAAATCCCTATCCCGTCGGCGCAAACACCACAACTTAAACGCACTCGGATCCTGCCATGGGGCTCTAGAGGCTTCATAATATTATTATGCTCTCTCGTGAGCTGACAATAGTTGAAGACACTCACCTCAGCAGCTTGACGTCCCACAGCGCCAGCACCTCAGGCGGGCGGTGAGCGCACAGCGCCAGCCGCGGGCCGCACGCATGAAGTCTCACAGGTCCCTGCTTCACGCTGTTGGTGCTGGGCGAAGAGATGATGACGGCCGCGAACTCCTTGCTACTGCCTAGGTTGTGCTGCACCTGAAAGAGAGAGGGGCGGTTAGAAACTTCTATAGGACAGCTCGGTGTTTCTTTGTGAGATCGAATCAGAAATGAGGAGATCCGTCTACTAAAGTCACTGACATAGCCCGACGGATTAGCAAGCTGAAGTGGCAATGGGCAGGGCACATAGTATGCAGAACTGACGGCCGATGGGGAGCAAGGTTCTGGAATGGACGTCTTGTACCGGAGAGTGAGATGTCCACCTACAGGGTGAACCGACTACCTGATAAAGGTAGCAGGAAGGCGCTGGATGCAGGTCGCTACCAACCGTGCTATGTGCTTTTTGGCTCTTATATTGTAGATTATAATATAAAGTCGCGAGTGTACTTAACCACCCTCCATCCATCCTCACAATCTCTCCTGCTTATAATATGTATTAGTAGGATTTGAGAAGGGTTCGACAACTACACAACACAACAGAGGTTGCTTGTAAATCTTTAATTCTATTACAATAAGGTTACTCGAAGTCGATATTTATTTTATAGAGGTCATACATATTATAGATTCAAATGTTATTAAGGATTACGATATATTGGAACAAAACAAAGGTCTAAGGTCGCATCGGTTGACTGGACATGTTCGATTCTAATCTCCGATTAGAGATAATTCGGGTCCCGCCACTAATCCCGAGGGTGAGGTTTGGAAGGGCTAGAGGATCAACTGAGGTTTTATTCAAAACTTGTATGGTACAGATAGTACAATTGATGGGATAAAGCGGCATATGTATAGGTATTTGGATATCAAAGTCCTAAACACTGTCACTTTGGCGGTTGACCGCCTTGTGGATGAATTGATGGAAACAATGCTATTCCTACCTCTCATTTCCACCGCTACAATTCCTATGTATCCAGGATTTACAGATTGACGTCCAAAAAACCCAAGTAATAAAGACCAAGTTTGTCTTTTAGCTGGTGCTTGGGTCAGAGAGTCACAAATGGAGTGAACATTCCAAAATTGCAAAAAAATATCGCCCTTACACACCTTCGGAACCTGGTGGGAAGTGGGAATTGAAGAAAATCGCCAAAAGGTATACACATCCTCGCATTTTTGGACCTGGTGGAAAGTGCTATTTGAAGGGTAGTTAAGAAGAATTTCAAGACCTACCTTCACCCTCCACTGTATCAGGATCTCCCTGGTGTCGAAGGCCAGCACAGGCACCACGTCCTCGCACAGGATGGCAAGGGTGTTGGACTCCTTGTCCAGCGTGAACCCGGACTCGAAGCCGAGGTACTGCTGCAGGGAGAGCGAGACCGATACGATACTAGTCTCACCTCCATTCCCATGAAACTCCTGTATACCCAGGATTTACAGCTTGATCTTAAATACGGGTAAGACGTAGTGCGGGCAGGCTCTCCACTAGGTGGTCTAAACGATCTGATGAAGGTCGCGGAATGTACCGGGGTGAGGGCAACGCAGGACCGGTCGTTATGGAAATCTTTGGAGGAAGCTTTTTCCAGCAGGGGATATAATTTGGCTGAAACGAACGAATAGCTTGACCGCTAAAAACCCAGTCAGCAGTGTCGCAAAGAGGCGCATCCTATTCCTACACCTTCGGAATCTGGTGGGAAGTGAAAGTCGAAAGGTGGGGGAATTTTAGGTATCATAGACCTAATTAAATTATGCAACGCAAAAGTTTAAAATTAATTAAAGACCTACCTTCACCCTCCACTGTATCAGGATCTCCCTGGTGTCGAAGGCCAGCACAGGCACCACGTCCTCGCACAGGATGGCCAGGTGATGGACGACTAAGCGATCTGATAAAAGTTGCGGGAAGTATACCGGGATGCGGGCAGAGCATGATCGGTCGTTATGGATATCTTTGGGGGAGGCCTTTGTCCAGCAGTAATACCCAACCAGTGAGAACCAAGTCTCTAGGCTGATGCTTGGGTCAACAGTGTCGCAAAAGGGTGCACCTTCAAAAATGGTAAAGAACACATAAAGGCGCATCTTCGGGATCTGGTGAATGGGGGAATCTTAATCTTAAGTATCAAAGACCTACCTTCACCCTCCACTGTATCAGGATCTCCCTGGTGTCGAAGGCCAGCACAGGCACCACGTCCTCGCACAGGATGGCAAGGGTGTTGGACTCCTTGTCCAGCGTGAACCCGGACTCGAAGCCGAGGTACTGCTGCAGAGAGAGCGAGGCCTTGGTCTGCCCGTTCTTCTGCCGTTCTTTCAGGTCTTTGTACAGTTGGATATGGACGCAATCTGTGGAAGAGGGTTTGAGGGTTAGGGTTTTATTCTTCGTACTCTATTAATTCACCTTTAAAGCGGTCATGAATGTTGCTTGAGTTATTATGTCTTTTTAAGTAAAAGATAAACAGTTAAGTATTGTTGATTACAGACATCAGTGAATACGGATACCACTATGATACTTATACGGTTCTTAGGAAGTTGCGAAGTTTTTTCCCAAAATTCTTAGTTGTATTTTTGGTTAGGAAAAATGATTTTTCAAAAATTACATAATACCGTGTGTGAGTCCTTCAATTGTCTTTTTAGGGTTCCGTAGCCAAAATGGCAAAAACGGAACCCTTATAGTTTCGTCCTGTCCGTCTGTCCGTCTGTCCGTCTGTCCGTCTGTCACAGCCGATTTACTCGGAAACTATAAGTACTACAGTGATGAAATTTGATGGGAATATGTGTTGTATGAACCGCTACAAAATTATGACACTAAATAGTAAAAAAAAGAATTGGGGGTGGGGCCCCCCATACATGTAACTGAGGGATGAAAATTTTTTTTCGATGTACATACCCGTGTGGGGTATCAATGGAAAGGTCTTTTAAAATGATATAAAGTTTTCTAAAAAACATTTTTCTTAAAGTGAACGGTTTTTGAGATATCAGCTCTCAAAGTCGTAAAAAGTATGTCCCCCCCCCTCTATTTTTATAACTACGGGGTATAAAATTCTAAAAAAAATAGAGGTGATGCATGCTAATTAACTCTTTCAACGATTTTTGGTTTGATCAAAGTATCTCTTATAGTTTTTGAGATAGGTTGATTTAACTGTTGCTGCTACGGAACCCTTTGTGCGCGAGCCCGACTCGCACTTGGCCGGTTTTTTTCTAATTCGGATTTCACTTGATACCTTCATTCTAGCTACCTAGATAAAGGTACCTAGATTATGGTAGACGATGAAACTTGTATGGTGTAATTTTCATACATTTTTAGCCTAACTTCTATCTTATTCCTCTCATAAATCTTACGGCAACTGGTAGTTCGTATACAAACACAATAGAACAGTAGAACTACATGCCACTCATATTAAACGAGATTCCTAAGAAATTCTTTAATAAACTGACAAATCCCAGAATTGAAAGTAAAACACAAAGCAAAAGGAATACAAAACAGCTCGGAGTTCATTAAAGGCCCAACAGACGTCGCTTGAAATGGGACTTTTCTACAAAACCATATTCTTAAACCGACTCTATCCATCTTTTTCTCTCATCACCGCATCTTAATACGACAGAGAGAGACAGAAAGAATCGAATATGTCGAAATTTGTCGTGGAATAAGGATTCGGATTGTAATAAAAATTTTTCGTCGTGAAATATTGGCGAGGTAGGTACGATATCGTGAAATTTTCCAGATTCCTCTTATTTCCTAGCTCGATGTATTACGGCTAACACAATGCATAATGAAATAAGGCACTGGTTTTCAATATGTTTAATTGCTTTCTTTGCCAGTAGTCTTTATAAACACGAAAGAAATTTCGAAATTTTAGAAAAAACGTTGTATTACGTGTAGTGACGTTTTTACCAGTACAAAGACTGGTGGTATGTGGTTTAAAGTAAACATTGGCTACTTATCAAATCAAATGTTTTATTCAGTTCTTAAGCCCTTTCCAGATTACTTGTTCACGTCCCAAATAAAGCTTGCCCTACCACTACTTCGTGACAACATGGGTTGGTGCTGTGAAGAAGTGGTAGAAGAAACTCAGTCACCTTTGTCTGATAAAAACCTAAAGCCTGTCACTGAGTAGTTTGTTACATATTGTTTTACCCTCTTAAATACATTTTTTATTTGATAAACTAGTTTTCCGCCCGCGGCTTCGCCCGCGTAGAATTTTGTCTGTCACAGAAAAACTTGATAGCGCGCCTCTGTTTCAAAAACCGGGATAAAAACTATCCTATATCCGTTCCCGGGACTCAAACTATCTCTATGCCAAATTTCATCAAAATCGGTTCAGTGATTTAGGCGTGAAAGCAAGACAGACAGAGTTACTTTCCCATTTATAATATTAGTATAGATAGATAGTATAGATTAAAGCACAATATCTCGTAATTTCCTTAAAAGACTTCGCTTCATTTTGCCACGGCCATGGAAATCTTTTGTCGTAAAACGGGAACAACTACTGACTAGAGTCCAATCAAGTGAGCACAAGTCGGCTTCTTTAGGAGACAAAACGTCTGGTATTGTTAACGAGGGAGGCGAGTAGGGTGACCAGGCCTCTCAGGACGTTTCTTTTACTTATTTATCTATGATAATAATACCTTTCGAGTTTTTAGATAGCAATGGGCTTGATTGAAAGCGTTAGCCTGTTCTTATGAGTTCCTATAATAACACTTGAGAGTTGATTGAATTGATGCTAAATCGAAAGAGTCATGAATTACTATTTAATTTTAAAGGTTGAATTCTTTATTAGTTTTTTTTATATTTAACAAACTATTAGTTCTACAATTACAAATACCTTTTTTTCTCTCCCTCGCTATTGAATAAGTGTGTTGTTGACACTTATTAAGAACTTAGAGAGCAATGTCTCCGTTCACCATTCTGTCTATCTCGTCTTTAGATACATTCAACAAGTCTTTGGTTACCAGATACCATTCTAAGCCTATTCACGAGAAACTCGAGAAAAACGGAAAGATCAGTTGTATGCAGAAATCGCTCATCGCTTTCATTTTATTTTCATTTTCTTGATTTAAAGAAATTTTGCAAATAAAGAAATGTTGACTTTAACTTTGAGTTATTTACTACTTTAAAATAAGCGTCTTTTCATTTTAGAAAAAGCACAACTAACATTCTAGTGTGGTCACCCTGCGCCGGGAGGTAGGTTCCGCTTTGCGCCGCCCGAGCTACCCTTTCGGGCTGATGAGCTGCGGTAATGAGCCGCTCAGGCGACCTTGACTTCATTTGATGCCTTTGTGGCGAATTCAGTTTGTAAACGTGAAGAAAATGACGTTTTGCTGATTGGAAGACAATGGGGCTGATTTGAGTCGATTTTGTTATTATTTTCGTATACGTACAGAACATGGTATCACAGGCGGTGTATTACAAAAAAATGCAGTCGACTAGTTTGCACTGACTGTCGGCCGTAACGTCGTTCTTAAACTGAGTGAGTCAGACATAAGGTTTTTTTTAGTTTGAGCTGGACTGACATTATTCACTTTTATTATTGATCTCATAAACATGTTCATATTGATGTTCAACCAATAACAGGCTACAATCAATGCTTAGAATTTAATCAAGTTTTGAACTTTTTCAGACTATAAACTTAGATATGTTATCATTTTGTATTTACCTGAAAATACAATCCTGAACTTCCAATAAATAAGTAAATCGAAAATCATGAAAAGTTTGCATTCGACGGTGAAATTATGAAGCACAAATCTGTTCTTACATTCTAGCTAGATTAAGGCTAAAAGAATAACTTTTTTTAGCAGTAATGAAAGAAAGAAAGAAAGAAAGAAAAAACATTTATTAATGCTATAATAACTTCTCCCATCCCGTAAGTCCTTAACTGTAGTCCTACCTTTTCAGTTACTAAGGCTTCCTCAAAGCGCGCTGCGCTTTGTACCACTTGATATCACCCATTCGGAACTAATGAGCTAGAAGGAACGCGCTTTGAGAGACTTTTTAAATGACCTTGGGATAAGGACGTCCTTTAAAAAAAGTTTTTTATTAAAAACTCCAGTAATATTAACAACATTTGGAATCAGGTCAGAGATTTTTTAGGCTGTATGAATGAAAGAAGGAGCATGAAATAATTCGGTTTGTTTTTGTTTCTGAGCAATGTTGATTGGTTATGTGAAGATTGGTTAATTAAAGTACGACGTATTTTTTAGATAAATATGAATAAGGACATCATAGAACGAAAAAACACTACATTATTCAAAGCGGAATTTAAAAAAGGAAATATCTACGTCACTAGATGTAGTTGTCATCAAACTGCTCGGCATTAGCTTATTTCGGAAGCACGACACGTTTTAATAAGGACCCAAGTAGAACGCATTTAGTAATTACTAAGCCACCCTCGAGCTATAATGTGCTTTATGTCCTTGAGCATTAAATCCAAATTTGACTCCACCCTCCCATGTGAATGACATTCAGTATTTCACCTATTATCTCATGAGCTTCGGCGTGGTAGACCGCAAGGCGTTTTGATCTTTGAATTTGGAGATGTAAGGACGAATTTCCTTTGTCGTCGAAGACAAAGGGCACATGACAGATTCCACTACATCAAAATCGAGTGTTCCATTTTGAAATTAATTCGGAACCGTTTTCTAATTGGCGCGACGTGACTGGGCTGTGTTCGAATCTAATCAGAATGTTTGAATTCGAATTCTAATTTGTGTTTCGAACGGTTGTGATTGTTGCCAGTAAGTTTCTATAGTTGAATTGATTACGTTTACTATCTAAATAATTACTATAAATTGATGTGAAGCGAGGACGAAAGGAATTACAGATTAGAGATTAATACATATTATAACATGGAACTCAGATACAGATTAATAATGTTAGCTTGAGTCGTCAAAGATTGACATTTTACAGCAACGAGAAGACCCATTTACTTTGTAAAATATTGAATAGACTTAACAATTTAGGTGAGCACAGATTTTTATAAAAATAAATCAAATATTAAACTGTTACAAATTCTTGCACGGCTTCTTGGACGAAAAGTTAAGTGTACTCGTATATCATCTATGTTTAGCAGTTTTGTTTTGGTTTCTAAAATTTGTGTTTATTCGAATAATAATGTGTAATTCAATAATGATAAGTTGTAGGCAAATGAAACAAAACAGTGCAACATCTAGTTTTTTCTCAAGAAGCCCGTGTGAGGCAAGACTGATCTCTACTGAAACAAGGGAAAGCAAGCAGACCGTGCAAAGTTATTACAATAGATAAGTTCTAGACAAGATATCCTTGTAGCAGGTCGTGACTGAACAATCTGATAGCTGCGAATGCTGGCAACTGGGTCAGCGCTGCGACG